CTGGGTGCTGGCACGTCCGAGGTCATGGTCCTGCCACTATCGCGGTGTTGACGCTCACTTCAGAGTCAATAAAACTCTCAGGGAAGGGGCAAAGTCTGCACCAGCTGAGCCAGGGCTGACAGGCACCCCAGGGACCAGGAGGGATGTGAGGAGGGGGTGGCAACCCAAAAAAGCACCAGCGCTGGGGCAGCAGTGCCTGGGGCTGTGGGGACACCCCCTTGCATCATGGCATCCAAGCAGAGGGCTCAGGGCTGCCCAGGCACCACTGCCACCCACATTGGCTCTAGGATTGACGCCATGGAAGCTCCCCAGGGTGACACTGGTCTGTGACCATCCCCTGGGGTGAACAGCCACAGGTTAAAGATCACAGCAACCACACCGGCCCAAGGGGACAGCAGGACAGAGGTGGTTCATGGTTTGGGGTCATTGGGCCCATTGGATGCCCAGAGCGGGGACAGGCGTCACGGCACAGCCCTTCCCGTTTGGTTTCTGGCAGGGACAGGGTTGGGCTCTCATCACACCCAGCCCTGAGGGACCTGTTCAGTTGGTGCTGTCCCTCCACACATACTTCTCCTACTCGCAGTGGGTGTGTGTGAGCTCACACCTCTCTGTCTCTCCTCCATCCCCAGGCTGGGGCTGAACAAGCCCAGACTCAGAATCACAGAATCCCAGAACGTTAGGGATTGGAAGGGACCTCCAAAGCTCATCCAGTCCAATCCCCCTGCCGGAGCAGGAACACCCAGATGAGGTTACACAGGAAGGCGTCCAGGCGGGTTTTGAATGTCTGCAGAGAAGGAGACTCCACAACCTCTCTGGGCAGCCTGGGCCAGGGCTCTGTCACCCTCACTGAGAAGAAGTTTCTTCTCCAATTGAAGTGGAACCTCCTGTGTTCCAGTTTGTGTCCGTTACCCCTTGTCCTATCACTGTTTGTCACCGAGAAGAGCCTGGCTCCATCCTCGTGACACTCACCCTTGAAATATTTCTAAACATGAATGAGGTCTCCCCTCAGTCTCCTCTTCTGCAAACTAAAGAGCCCCAGCTCCCTCAGCCGCTCCTCAGAAGGGAGATGCTCCACTCCCTTGATCATCTTTGTAGCCCTACGCTGGACTCTCTCCAGCAGTTCCTGTCCTTCTTGAACTGAGGGGCCCAGAACTGGACACAATATTCCAGATGCGGTCTCACCAGGGCAGAGTAGAGGGGGAGGAGAACCTCTCTGCCCTACAACCACCCCCCTCCTGATCCTCCAGACTCCAAGAGAGAGCGGCCGAGGTGGTGCTTGGCAGCACAGCCCTGCCTCAACCACCCTGGCCCCTGATGCGGGGTAACCCTCCAGACTCCATGAGAGAGTGGCCGAGGTGGTGCTTGGCAGCACAGCCCTGGCTCAACCACCCTGGCCCCTGATGCGGGGTAACCACCTGCACACGTGTGCTTTGCCACAAATGGATGAGCTACAGGAAGGTAAAGAAACACAACCTGGTTTTCTTCCAGCATCAATGTCTCGTGCTGGTCTCCCCACGCCGCAGGACTCCTCTTGCTCCTGGACAGGGGCGGTGTAGGGCCAAGTGGACTCTGCTTCCCCCACACATTCCTGACTCCTTTTCTCTTGCACCACAGTAGGTGCAGAAGAGCAGCGAGGATGGAGCTGGGCTCTCCCAGAGCATCCTTCCCACAGCAGAACCACTGCCCCAAGCACGGGAACAGGCGGCTCAGCTCCCAGTGCTTGTCCCCGGACTCTCCTCACTCTGCAGTGAGCACCTGGGGACATGGGGGCAGCCCAAGGGGCTTCTTGGAGTCACTGTGCACCCTTGCCTCCAGTGCAGGAGCAATCCTGACCTTCAAAGAACTGGCAGCTTTACTGGGAACACACCAGAGGCGTAAAATAACAAACCTTTGGGGACAGCATGTTCCCAGGGGCAGCAATCCCAGGCTGAACTCGGGGTTTATTGATTTATTTTTTTCTTTTTTTTTTTCCCCTCCTTGCTTTAGAAACTTTAATTCTCTGTCTCCCCTCCAAGGAAATAACCTGGTATTGCAACATGCGATCAGTAACATTGCTACGAGCTTAGTTAGGCAAATCCCAAAGCCAATGAGTTGACAATTTTTACCTCCCCCTCTTACAAATTTAATTCCTCCTTTCAGCTTTCAGACGCATTTGCAAATGTCTCATCCCAACCTCTTCCCTCCCTCCCTCCCAGCAACTTCCCTTCCCTGGGTGAGCAGTTCTGGGTTTGCCACCAGCCTTGGGGAACCAGGATGTGGTTGGACTCCACTCCTGGAAAAGCAGAAAGCCCTGGGCTGATTTAGACAGCAGCATTTCACAGCACAACGGCTGCCCTCAGGAAAGGCAGAAACAGACTTCGCTAGGAAAAAAATCCTTATCCTAACAAGCAGGTGTCTAAAGGCCACTGAACACAGCAACGATGCACTTCAAGTGACAGGTAGGCATCGTCGCAGTCGGCTCGGAACAGCCCCAGGGACACGGTGGAAGCTGTAGAGCTCAGACAGAACAAGAGATCTGCCAAGGTCGCTAAGAAGCTCCCAAATTTCCCCTCTAAATTGCAGTTTCGTGCCCACCAGCCATGTCCCGTTCCCAGGGCTCACCCCCAAGGCTGTGGCAGTTGTCTTGTCTCAGCATAGAGAAGTTAAAGGCCAGTACCTGCTCCCTCAGCGTGGGGATGTCCCCATGGTCCCCGCCTCACCTCCTGCAGGAGGTTTGCTGTCCGCTCCTCAGCCAGCCAGGCCTGGGGCTGCTCTCGCTGCTGGCAGATGTGCTACAGTGACGCTGACAGCCCAGGGCTTCCTTTACTGCTGTGAGGCCAGGAAACTGCTCGCTGGACACATGCCATCCTGAGGCCTCTGCAGGGAGAGCGAATCTCTTACCAGATCAACTGATAAGAGCCTGGAAGGAAAAGGGAACCAGTTTCCAGTGCCAGAAGCGTTTTCCGGTGTGCAGTACCGCTCTTCCCCAGCCAGACGTGCACCTATCAGACACCCACAGCCAGCCCACAGTCCCCACTGCACCCAGCTCCCAACCCGGAGGGGCACACTCCAGCTCCCCACTCAAAAGCAAACCAGGAAACACAGACATTTGTCTTTCGGATTGTGTTTCAAGCTTACAGTTTGGAGGTACATAACATTTACAATTGCTACCAGTCCTCATCACCCTTCTGCACTTTTCTAGAAAAAAAGAAAGCGATAAAATTCCTGGGTTTACAGATGAGGATCTCACAAGGAGGAAAATCAAGGCACCGATGAGAGTGGAGTATCAACATCTCAATGTTATCTCTAGCATTTCTTTCTTGGTATTTAAGACATGCTGTTAAGTTCCAAACAAGCACCTCATCCTCTTCTTGCTCCACACTTAACAATGCCATTGCTGTCGGCAGTTCAGGAAAAACAGGGCCATGAAGCCAAGTCCATTTGTGATCCCACGGAGGGATGAAACAACCAGAGATGAGATGGAACAGGCCACCAACTCCAGACCTCCCACCAGCTCCGGGCTGGTTCCCGAGTTGCTGCATCCTCCTGCAGAAAGCCCCTGCCCGGGGGTGCCCACTTTGGTGAGCAGAGCTTCTTACTCACGTTCCTCTGAGGTCTAAGTCCTCAGCATTCACTTTGCTACATTCCAGTTAAATCTTCTAACCCGCTGTTCAGGTCTCTCCCAGCTCCTTGGATGTATATAAATCTGCTCCAAAAAAGGCCAAAATCCCAAGACTGAAGTGTCTGCCACTACTCCGCACGCATCTGGGGCTGTGGTACCGACAAATGCTGGCAATGCAGGCTGAGCTCGTGCAGCACTGCCAGACAACGAAGGCAACGTGTCACTGCACACACAGGACCTCCAGTGTTTGAGCTGTGTTTAAGAGCTGTGTTTTGTAGGACAGAAAGGGGTGTCAGGTATTCTGTCCTCCCGCCCCAGCACTGGTTTAACAAGCCCCCTTCCAGGCACACTCTCAGTGCAGAAGTCACTAGCAGAGTAGACACATGTCCTCCTCCACTCAAATATTAAGTTACAAACTAAGGCTTCTATTATTTCAACCTCTTTTGGCTCCTAGCTACATCACACCTGTAAACCAGACAGGAGGCCAAGAGCCTCAGTATAGACAGGACGTGTCCTTACTGCTGCAAGCTGGTTGAACCCCAGAGTAGTGCAGTGTTTTGACAATGAGGTTCCTGGCTTGATTTGGGGAGGTGATGCGCTGTAACTCGAGCGGCAGCGTGGAAAAAGGCAGCTGCTAAATAGAGCAATGAAAAAAAGACTCCAAGAGGAGGAGAAGCACACAGAGATCACACAGTCCCCATCACCCAGCAATATCAAAAAGTAACAAAAAAAATTAAAAATAAAGGAAATGTAATTAAAGTGGCCTGTGTCAGGGAGCGGAGCCTACACCGGAGCTACCAACCCATCCCATCCCACCAGGCACCCCAGATACAGCAACGATGCAGCAACGCACTGCTGCGTGAGCGTCATACAACGCTCCTGCCACATTATGAGAGTCCTGCTGCTTTCTGGAGATCAGTACACCTGGACTCTCGAAAATTCCCCTGCCACAGCAGCCACGGGCTCTGGATACCCCAATGCTTGCTGAACCCCAGCCAGGGGACCCATGCCCACAGGTGGCTGTGGATCAGGCGGGCACACGCGCTGCGGGGGAGAGCACTTGCCCAACTGGCAGCACTGTCCAGGTGAGGCTCCAGTGTGTGCCTGCACGTGGTGCTCCCCAAAAGCACCTCTGGCTTGAGAGGGGGAAGAAGGGAGGCTGTGTCCTGCAGTGTGGCCGTGCAGAGATCCCTCGTGTCCCAGAGCACAGCCGTATTGAATCCCTTGGCTGTGGGCATTGGGGTGCAGCACCTGGAAAGCAGGGAGAGCTGGAGGCGAAGAGCAGTGGTAGCTCTGGGTGGGGTAGGCACCTGGCACAGCGTTAATCCTGGGTAGGAAGAAAACAGAAGGTTACACTGTGTTCACAACTGGCATTGCCCAACTAACACTGCAAGTGCCCTGGGGGTAGATTTCCCCCTGAGCAGCGCTCAGAGAGGTCACTGCAACCCATCACAGAGATTCACTACAAGAGAAGCTCTTACTATAAGCAGCACTTGAGTAAAAATAGGTTTAGTGGCCTTTCAGGACAGATGTCCTCATCCCAACCCACACCAATTCCACACCCACTGAATGAACTGCGGTTCTTGGCCCCGAGTCCCTTTGTGCAAGGAAAACGCAAGCCAAGCTGCAACGTGCTGGAAGATTTCCATATGCACCCTCCTGCCTTCCACTGAACAACACATCTGCCAAGGTCTTCCTCAGAAGAAGGCACAGCTGACAAGTGGTGTTTATCAAGAAGCCATAAAGGCCTTTGGTATGAGTAAGAGCCTAGGGCATACAGCGGAAAGGGGAGGAGGAGATACAAATAAAATCCATCATTCAGAAGCAAGGCCTAGAATCAGCCTTTGCCAGCAGAAGGCATGACTCATTCCACCCAAACATATCAAGAGAGAAGCAATCTGCTGAGAGCCAAAGCCTCTGGGACTTCAGGAGTACGGCTCAGTCCACACACAGCCCTAAGAGCGCTGAGCATCAAGGCAACGTTCACGAGGACCACAGCCACCAGATTCCCAAAAGCAGGAATAAATGACTGGCTCATGCTGGGATTTTCAGGCTTGGATATTTATTTTTATTTATCAGGTGGGTTTGGTTTTGGTTTTTGGGTTGAGTTTTTGGGTCGGTTTGGGTTTTTTTTTTTTAATTTGTGGACGCAAACATGATGCCAAAGCCTGGACCTCCTCGAAATGTCTCCTGTCTGGTGGCAAATCTTAACCAAAAAAACCACCAAACCAAAACCCAAACCAGCAAGAGCTCACATTTGGGAACAAGAATCAAAATAACAAAAATTAAGCCCCAAAAAGCACATACAGAACTTGTGGCCAAGACACAGAGACGTGCAAACTCAGCTGCAGAAACGGAAACATCCTAGAAACACCTTCCCACGCCCTGCTTGACAGTCAAATGTTTATTTAAATATCTTTGAGCCAGAACAGCCTATTTCTGTCACCTACCTAAAGAAGCAGGTTTAGACACGGAGCTGAGACGCTGCACGCAACAGCAGAGGCATTAGACTGATGCAGGCAGCTCAGCGCGCAGCGGGACAGCCCCTCCTCCCAAAAACAGCTCTTGCACAGAAGGGAGAGAGCGAGAACCCGAGCGCTGCTGGCTCTGCCTGGCCTCCCCTGCAAGCACTCACATGTCTGAGTGCCCGAATGCACCAGTGGTGTGCTCCTGCTGCAGGCAGGGGTTTGGTTTATGGCTTCCCCATGGGAAACGCTTGGAAATGGCTCCACTTCAAAGGACGTTTTACAGCGAGCTGGTGGCTTAAACAATACGTACAATTTCCTCTTAGTAGAGAACTATTCCTTCCTCTGTGAAACTGAAATGACAACTCAGAATAGGACCAAAAATTGACCTACATTTCCAAGCTTTTAAAAATACAAGTGAGTTCTCGTGGCCTGTGATAAACACAAAATTGAAACCGTTTCTGAACATCAGCCCTGGGTCCCAAGGTTTTCCAGTAAAGCAATCTCGCCTTGACACTGAAAATGTGTCACCCACTCTACAGCGAACTTCCTAAGCGACATATTTAATTTACTACGCTCTGCTCCTGCACAGATTTGGACACAACTCACTTCACAGCATTCCTGGGAGTCCAGGTGGGGCAAAGGAAGATAAAGATCACACCCCAGGCAGCCGTACAGCCAGGAAGAAATGTTGTAAGCCCTAATGTTAGGGCAGAACTGCACAGCACAGCCTTCACGTCAGCCAAGCTGCAATTCCTTCACGTGTGTACACACTGCCCTGCAGCAGATGAGAGGTCTTTCACCCCAGTTTAGCTTTCACTGAAAGACCTGGTTGAGTTAATGTGTGATAGCGTATTAGTCACAGCAATGTCACCAGTGTGACATCAGGGGGTCAGTGTGTCCCCCTTAACACCCGGGATGTGAACACAGTGAGCGCAATACAGCTTTTAAAGGCAATTTATTGCCTCCACTTACGCCTCCAAATTCCCCTGTACCACATAATCTTTCACAGAAGTACTTACTTGCTGTTTTCAAAGGCTCTTCTCTCTGCTAGGGACCCTGGGATGTATTTCAGCCCTGGTATCCTCTTTAGCAGGCTGAAAGGGAACACCCTGTCCAGTCTAGAGCCCACCGACTCTGGAAAATCCAAGCAGAAGCAGTAGCCAAGACCATCTGAAGTAGCAGCACGTTAAGGACTGCAGACAAAACGCGCTCATTTCGAACACAGCCCCACACACAACAGCCCCTGGCCATTCTCCTTCCCCGGCTCTTCAACCAGTGACACTTTCACAGATCAGGGCCCTTCTCAGCTCCATCTTCTCTTTGTGGACTAAAGCCACAGGGGAAGTGGAAGCATGAGACGAAAAACAAACGCAGAACTGCGTGTGATGAGGACCAGCAAAGCCCGTGAGTTCAATGCAAAGCAAGAGCCCAGGAAGCACCATAAACCAGTGCATTTTGGCAACAAGAACTGCAGTTTGTCCTCTGCGTTGTAAACCAGGGATCCCACTCCGGTTCAGGGCTCTGCACGTGGAAAGGATACAGGCTTCCCCAGTGAGGAGCCCACACAGGTTACTCAGGAGAGAAGAGCAGGGGATAAACCACGCGATGCAGAGCAGAAACCAAGGCACCAGCACCACTGGAGCTCTAAACCCAAAAACCAGAGTCCTCCTCATCCGCGAGCGGGTGGTGGACACTCCCAACATAGCAAACGCTACCGGCATGAATCCTTTGGCATCTTCCACCTCTGACACCCTCGAGACAACGGTCTCCAGGAAGAGGTACAGGAGGGCAGAGAGGACGGCAAAGGCGACGGTGAGGAAGCAGTGCTTCGCGGTGCCAACGTTCTTCTCAAAGCTGCCAGCAAAATACCAGATAATAACAGCACCACAGGCCAAGGATACCAGGTCTTCATAGACAAAGATGTAGGTAACCAACCTGTGAACTGAGCACGCCAGCACGTTGGGAAGGCAGAGGCAGCAATTCATTTGTTTTAACTCGCTAGAAAGATGCACTTGTGCAGAGGGAGAATGAGTCTAAAGGGTTAATTAATAGCTTCCATTTCTGTCCTGGTGTAGAAGAGAAGGAACTTAAGGCCTTTAAAACCAGGCATAAATAAGCAGATAGAGTTAAAACAAGTGCTATCTTGGGCATCGCAGACATATGGACTGACTCTTGCTGCTTCCTGGAAAAAAAAAGCTGCAGCATCTGTAGCACATTTCAGTCTCATTAAAAAAGAAGGCAAGAGACATAAAAATGACTGCTATGGTAACTGCGATTTTGCTCAAAAGGCAAACACTTTTTGAACTACTAGAAGGCTGATTTCTCCTCACAAAAAGTGCCTGGAGGTTATCAACCCTTCAAAAGTGCTCCCAGGCTCTCTGGTTAACCACCCTCCTGGGAGCCCAGCAAGGACTGAGCTAAAAGAGAGTCCACGTCTCCCCTGTTGATCCAGCCCTGTAGGGAGGAGGCACATGAGGAGAGGCAGAGCTCGCCCACCAGCTCAGAGCACTGGACTGCTAAAAGAAACCTCTGCAAGGAATATAGGAATTAAAGTGTGATAAAAATCATTCTGGGAATACCACAGGGACCAAGGGAAGCAAATCCCTCAAGCTCCTAGCAGCATTCCACCACTCTGCACAGTGTCAAGGGCCAGAGATGGGGGCCAAGGGGGGAGCAGCCTGATACAGGGGGGCTGAGAGAGATGCCTGACAGTCTCGGTGCAGGTCAAGGGGAGCAAGGGGCACAGTGCGGGCCATAGAGAAGGCCCAGAACCGTGTCACGACGGGAGCAGGAGGCTCGGTAGGGAATATGAGGAAGTGCCCAGAAACAGGCGGCTGAGGAGAGGGGATCAAGGGGGCAGGACCGGGGAGCAGGAAAGCAAAGGCTCAGCGGGGGACGTGGGGAAAGCCCGGAACGAGAGACGGGCACGAAGGGCATGGGACCGGGTGCAGCCGGGGCAGGCGGAGGAGCC